AAGCTACTTATGTCGACTGTGTTTCATATTTTGTAATTATGTCTCTCTTCTTGGAAGTGCAAGAAGGTGACACGGATTGCAGGACACTTGGCACTGACTCAAAGGGATCGCTGCGTCGCCGGCTTGCCTCAGTGACATCTCTGAGGATGGCATTGCCTTGCCATGTTGACCACTCTGCTCAAATGCTGTCGATTCTCTCTCTCTCTCTCTCTCTCTCTCTCTCTTCGATTTGAGCGCTCGCTCCTGGGAAGTCGCAACGAGCACTGGCTTACCCAGCTAGTCAAACACAGCATCAATGTTGGATGCTCAGGGCGGCGGCAGCAGTCCTAGCGGCCGCGAAAAGGGCCCCAAACGGAAATGCTCACGAGAATAGTACATACCGAATGTAGCAACTTGAACCTGTGCGACCGACTCTGCGATAACATGCAAACTGGCTTGATCGACCGTTCAAATTTAAGGAGCCTATTTTGAGCCCTCGATAAAGCCATACGCGCGCAAACAAGAGTGTTCTCTTGGGACACCGGGCCGCCCGCCGGCTTGGAGCATTCGGTCAGTGTGAGTCGGAGCGTTTCCAGTTCTGGAGTCTGGCGGCCGGGCCAGTGCTGGCGCGCTAAACATGCGAGATTGGGCGCCTCACCAATGACCATGCCATGCCTCATTGTAACCAGATCCCTGGCAGCATCTGCATCAATCAAGTGCCAAGTAGTACTACTGCCTACGACTAAAAGTACGCGCTTGTTGGCCACAGCATTGCGATTTCTGCGCACACTACAGCCCAGGGCCAAGGCCGTTCCCTTGGCTCCGCTCTTCGCCGTCGGCCCCTCCCTGCTTCTGGTCCGGCTCCTGGCGGGGCACGGTCGGCTGCAGGATGGGTCCCAAGCAGGACGTGGCGGAGACGAGCGACGACGAGAAGGAGGAGGTGGGGGAGGAGGAGGAGGAGGCAGAAGGGGAAGGGGCGCTGGAGGACGACGGGGATGCAGAGAGCGAGGGCGACCCGGACAGCCGATTGAAGCGGCGCCTGCTGTCGGCGCAGGCCAAGGAGCGGCTGACCGCGCTGAGTGAGCGGTGCCGGCTGCTGACAGCGGAGAACGAGAAGCTGACCGAGGAGGTGACGGAGGCGCGGAGCTCGCTCCACGACATCAGGTGGGAACCTACCACCTCAGTAGACTGCAGCGCCAGCAGCAGCGCGAGGCCCCGCACATGGAGCCGGCACTGACAGCTGCGCTGGGCCTCCGGCCACTGCAGTGCCAGCTGATGCCTGCCTGGCTAGGGCCGAGGAGGACAGTGGGGCCCATCCGCAAGCCCGACTGATGCTGGCACTTTGGCAAAGGGGACGCCACTGGGGCAGCCCAGCGCGCAGTCCCCATCCTCCTGTCTCCCCTGTGTGTACTCGCCAGGCCCATCTAACTGCAGCCCCCCATGTTGTACCTTGGTGGTGCAGCGAGGTGCTGACAGCGGAGGTGGCGGCCAAGACAGCAGCAGTGGCGGCGCTCGAGCGCCAGCTGGCGGAGGCGCTGCGGGATGCGGAGCGCACTCGGGGGGCGCTGGAGCGTGAGCTAGCGGAGGAGCGCACCACCGCCAAGCAGCACATTGCAGACCTGACGACCCGCACCGAGGATGCCGAGAGGCAGCTGCGGGTGAGCGCGGAGGCAAGGCATACCCGCGCGCGCACATGTTTCTTCTCGGTGTACTAGGCCTGCATCACCAGAGAGTGCGGAGGGTGGTGGGGTGAGCCGGGTGGTGGCATTGCGCGTGTGTGCAGGAGGTGCGCGACTTTGCGGAGCGCAAGGGCCACCTGGACGAGCAGTTGGCAGCGGCGCGCGCGGAGCTGGTGCGGCAACACAAGGAGCACGAGGACGCGCTGTGCAGCCTGGAGCGGCACACCGTGCAGGTCAGGCGTCAGGGGAACCAAGGAGCCGACTGGGGGGAACATGCGAGACTTCTGGGCACATTGAGTTAATGCGTTTCGAGTTTAACTGGAAGGCAGTGTCTCGGTGCGCGTCTTTGTTTGCTGACCAAAGACTTTGGAAGCACGTCAGTTCCTTAGCTTTGATGAGAAGGGAGCCTCCCTGACCTCGCAAGTGCGCATGCCTGCCCTTGATCTCCTTGCAGCCCTTCCACTCGAGTGCACTGCGTGAGTATTCCCCTCACCGCTTGCATGCTGCGCCCGGGTGCCCTGCTCACGTGTGCCCCTGCGGCTGGTGCTGCGGTGCAGGACAAGGATGCACTGCGCAAGGAGGCGGCGGCCAAGCTCAAGGAGGCCAAGGCGGCCATGATGGCCCTCACCGAGAGCCAGCTGGACACAGTGAGCCCGCGCCGCCAGCGGGACAGCGCCGCGCACCCTGCACAGCGCCGGCAGGCAGCGGGGGAGCGGGCCCTTGGTGCTTGTCCAGACATGCCTCCAGCCTCTGCTGAATGCCAGTGTTTGACGGAGGGGTTTGTTGTCAAGCTGATTGAGTTCAGAGGAGCGGTCGCCCCGCCTACCGGCGTTAGGACTCCTCCTTGAGCAAGCTGCAGCATGCAGGCCTCCGGGGGGCACCCTCTGCTGCTAGCCTCGTGGAGCACCTTCGCTGAGCTGGCACTCGGCCGTGATCTGCAGTGCCGCTGCTGAGCATGCGGCGTGGCATCCTGCGCAGGCGACCCGCGCGACTATTGCGGAGAACGAGGCCCTGGCCACGGAGCTGCGCTACACGGCCAAGCGCGCGGAGAAGCTGCTGCAGCAGAGCGAGAAGCTGGCCGCCGAAAATGCCGCGCTCAAGCGCGACCTCGACCTCTCCAACACGGTGCGCCCCCTCTGCCCCCTCCGCCCCCTGCAGCTTGCTTCAGAGCGGGCCCTCTGCTGCCGCCCCGGCTCGAGCGTGCCCAAACGACGCTGTCCTGGGACCCCTGCCTGACGTGTGCCTTTCTCTGTCGGCGCGGTGCCAGCTCGCGGCGGAGGTGGCGCGCAAGCAGTGCCTGTCCGCTAAGGCGGTGGCCCTGCTCACAGCGCGCGTGGCGGGGCAGCACGAGGCGCACCGCGAGGTTGACCAGGAGTGTGCCGACCTGCGCGCGCAGGCGCGGGCCCTGGCGGCCCACCGCAACGCCCTGGAGGACCAGCTCGCCGCAGCGCAGCAGGTGAGCCCGGGCAACCGCGGCAAGCGCGACACGGCGGGAGGAGGGGCCGGGGATACCTGGGAGGCTGCTCCCCGCTCTGGACTGTGCTTCATCCGTGGCCAGATTGTCAACCACAGATTGTTACGGGATTGCACAGCCGGTGCCCTAACTCGTCCCGCATCTGGCTGTGCAGGACGCGGCGCGGCTGCGCGGTGTGGCGGAGGCGCAGGCGGCGGAGCTGGCGGCGGCCGCTGCGCACGAGGACGAGGCGCTGCATTTTTTGCGTGCGTGCCTCGCGGATGTGCGCGAGCAGATCGTGGCGGTGACGGCGCCCCCGGCAGGCGGCCCCGACAGCACGGGCCCCGCGGTGGTGCAAGGGGGCCTCGACGAGCTGGCGCCGCACCAGCGGCAGCACGCGCTCGAGTAAGGCGCGGCAGAGACCGCCACGTGACAACAGCCTCAAACTGGAGCACCGCTGACCGGCCGCGTCTGCTCCTCCTCTCGACGCTCTCTGCTTGGACGATTTAGCGAGCTTGCCAAGGTATACCGCTCCGACATCGCAGGCCTTTCGGTGACGCCGCTGCCAGCTCGTAGGGGCCGGCCCTGGCGGAGTGGATCCTGTGCGCGTGTCGCGGCTGACGCGCGGTCGCCCGCTGCGCAGGTACCTCTTCCGCAAGCTGGCCGCGTACCAGGCCGTCAAGCGTGGTGCGGCCAGCCTGGCCCCCGCCGTGCAATACTCCTTCGCCTCCGCGCGATTTGCCGGGCTGGGATCCCCCATTGCGACCCTACAAAGTGACCCCTCCATCTCGGAGCTGTTGGCGCTGTCCGCGCCGCTCTCCCCCGTCAAAGGCGACGCCGTGTCTCCCCATGGCCCCGGGACGAAGCCGCCGCCGCCGCCCGAGATGGCGTCGCAGCCACAGTGCGGCGTCGGGGCCATGGGGCGGTCGCCGCCGGGGGCAGAACGGGACCGGAGCAGTCTTAAGGGCGGCGGCAGACTGGCGGGGCCAGGCCGGGCGAACGGCCCGAGAGCACCGAGGATAGGCGGCAGCAGACTCAAAGACACGTGAACGACCGAAACTGAAGCCGCTCTTCGCAGTAGATGCATTTTCGAGGAGGTTTACACCGGGACGCTGTTACCAATGAAGCCGCGCGGCTGCAAGCCTGAGCTGTGGAGACAGACTGGCACATGCCTGCCCGGCGCCACGATCAGCCGCTCCCTGTCCCTCGTCCCAGATGCAGTTAGATGCGTGCCCGATCTCGCTCCCAAACGTGGCGGCGCGACATGTGCTTTGTGCGGCTCGCCGTTGCCCCACTGCACGTTGGCATGATTTGCATAGATGGAACCACTTTACATTATGGCTCGCCGCGCGTGCTTGGCTAAAGTAAATACTACACGATCGCGTTATATATACTTCGTTACTAGCTTCACATACATGAAGTTTCGTACCGGCTATATAGCTACATGGGCTTATGAACCGCCGCGCTTTTCATATTATATCATGCAGAGTTTCCGTTTGGGCGGCCTCATAATGCACGTGCTGTCGATCAAACAGTGCCCATTCCTGCAACCGGCGGCCAGCTGCGGAAGCGCCGGCGCCCCTCCAATGGTCACAGCCCATGAAATCGCGTAACCGTGCATTGCACGGGCGACATATTGCATATATAGCTTGAGTTCCAAGATTACACCTTGGGCAGGGTCAGTTCTACTAGAACTTAGGTGGACCGTGAAATCTAGCCGTTGCATTATATATAAGCAATGATATAGAGGCTTGGAACTATAGCTGCATCCGACAAGAAGGCTTGAGCGTGTAAGTTCATTCTTGCTATGTCGGGGACCGCAAGTGGTAAGAATGCTTCCGGCTCTGCCATTTGTATTGAATGAGATTACATGCTTTGCATGCGCCATGGCATGGCAAGCCATAGTGACCCTGCCCTATAAAGTCAATATGGCAGCATGCGTGATCGGACATGGGATCAGATTAGAAAGCTTCGCTAGGTATACTATATATACAAACGTGTAGGTCAGCGTCATGCAGCCGACGCGGACGTGACTTGGCAACACTAGCTAGAACTAATCCAGCATGATTGGGCGGCACATCACCATGTGAGTCATATGCAGCTATAGGCTGGATATCGATCAGGCTCAGTCGCAATTGCGCCGCCGCGCAGCTGCCCGTATATGCATGCGATTGAACCGTACGATCATCACGTAGGCAGCGTAGACATATTCTACCACAGTGAGAGGAATATTGTAACCTTAGTACTATAGACATGGTATAGCAACACCTCCAGACTTGAATCGAAACTCATCTAGGTTGGGCACTTGCATGATTTCGACCTGGTCCGGTTGTCAATTCGCTTACTAAGTTAGGTTCAGTGGCCACGCATCCAAATGCAGTCAGCAAGCTTCTTTGGTGCAACGGAAATCAAATTGCTCAACCCATGAAAAATGCTAGAGCACCATAGCTAGCTCACGCTGTAGTTAGTGACTTGGGTTAAGTCATTGAAATTCCTTGCAAGCTTAGCTGTAGAGAAGAGCACCGTAACCAGTCAACATCGTGAATCAAACGTGTTGGTCGAAGTGACTTGGAGCATTAAAAAGGAACTGTGTACAATAGAAACAAGAATACAATCATTGGGATGCTCCGAACCGTCTGAGAACTGCTCCTTGGAGGATGGCCTCCTTGACTTGCGGCTTCAGCTCTCATCTTGACTCTTGACTAGCCCGTGGCACTGACTGGCGCCCTTTGGTGCGCTCCGTCTTCCCTGCTCTACGCTGCGCCGCTTCTCCCCTCTAGTTGTACAGGTCGTCATCGTCCGCCGCCGCGCCCGCTGTCCCAAACGCTGGCGCCGCCGCTGGGGCTGCTGCCCCAGCCGGGCGGTCGGGGAAGCGGAAGTCGGAGCCGAACCCGCGGGACTGCTGGAGCGTGTTGGCAAACGTTTGGTACTTGCGGATGTCGGCATCGCTGACGGAGCGGCGCGCGTACTTCATGGCCTCCTCGAAGTGCGCCGCCGTGATCTCCGCCACCTCCGTGTCCTCGTCCTCCTCCTCCATGGCGTCCGGGTTCTCCGCCTTCCGCTTCTCGCGCTCAATGTCCTGCCACACGCAACCACATTACTCAGCACGGCCCACAACAGCACCAGGGGAAGCCGGAGCACTCATTGCAGGGCAGCGCGGGAATGCCAACACAATGCGTGTTGGACAGCGGCATCTTGATCAACAGCCACTAAAGAAGTCTGTCCGGATAACGGTAGCAGTGAAGAACGGCTGAGAATCTGATTCCTTTTGTTAAGTACGCCGTGAAGATTGCCAGCAGACGGCATGTTGGTCACGAATATATGCACGCAACTTCTGCGGATCCGCAGGGAGGTGCTGCCCCAGCTGATATCCGAGAGCACTCAGCCGCCTGGGCCTGCCTTTGCCGGCATGAATCAGGGGCAGCCCCCCGCGCCCCTACTTCCCGGCCAGTTCCCACGGTCTAGATGGCGGCCGGCTCACCTTTTCGATGTTCTCGCGGATGGCGTACTTGCAGGCCCGTTGGCAGATCTCGGTGATGTCCGCGCCGGAGAAGCCCTGCGTGTACTTGGCGAGCAAGGTGATGTCCACGTCGCCAGCCACGGGCGACTTGCGCAGGGCGGCCTTGAAGATGCTCAGCCGGCTGGGCTCGTCGGGGAGCGGGATGTAGATGAGCTGGTCCAGCCGGCCCGGGCGCAGCAGCGCGCTGTCGATGATGTCCGGCCGGTTGGTGGCGCCGATGATGAACACCGTCTTCTTGGCGTTCATGCCGTCCATCTCCGTCAGCAGCTGGTTCAGCACGCGGTCCGCCGCGCCGCCCGCGTCGCCCTGGCTGCCGCCACGCTGCGCACGCACACGCCACACACGCAGTCAGCAGCACGCCCAGCGGCACGACACAGGCGCGGCCGGGGGGCGGGGACACATGGACAGATGCTGAGGCACGAGGAGGCTGCTGTCCCACAGAACTGGCAGAGGCGTGGGCGAGGGGGCGCGGCGCACCTGATTGGCGATGGAGTCCAGCTCGTCGAAGAAGAGGACGCAGGGCGCAGAGGAGCGCGCCTTGTCAAACACCTCGCGCACGTTGGCCTCGCTCTCGCCGAACCACATGGTGAGCAGCTCAGGCCCCTTGATGCTGATGAAGTTGGCCTGGCACTCGTTGGCAATGGCCTTGGCCAGCAGCGTCTTGCCGCACCCGGGCGGGCCGTAGAAGAGGACGCCCTTGGAGGGCGACATGCCGAACTTCTCGAACTTCTCGGGGTGCTCCACCGGGTACTGCACGACCTGCACCGCCGCCACGCGCACCACGCCCGTACCGTCGTCAGGGACTGTGCTGCAACAAGCACGCCGCACAACGCAGCCAACTGACCGAGCAAGATGCAGCACCCACTCCAGAAGTGAAGGGAGACAGCGGACAAGTGCCCCATGCACCACTGACTGCACTCAGCCTTTCAGAGAACCAAGTGCGTGTGTCAAACACGAGTGCACGTAGTGTGGCGGGCCTCCAACAGGAGCCCCAAGCTTTCACATGGTAACTGCGGGGAGCTCGGGGAGGCGGAGTGCGCTCACCTCCTGCAGCTCGCGCTTGACGGACTCGAGGCCACCGACGTCGTCCCAGGAGACGTTGGGCACCTCCACGACGGTCTCGCGCAGCGCGCTGGGGTTGCTGATGCCGAGCGCCGTCTGGAAGTGGTCGTTGGTTACGGCCATGCTGTTGAGCACCTCCGCGTCGATCTCGTCGTCCTCCAGGTCGATGACGTCCATCTTCTCGCGGATGCACTGCAGCGCCGCCTCCGTGCACAGCGCCGCCAGGTCCGCCCCGACAAAGCCGTGCGTGTCCTTGGCAATGCGGTCCAGCTCCACCTGCACGCCACACCCAGCCCACGCAAGGGTCAGCACCAGCAGCTGGAAGCAAGTGCAACATTGCGGCAAGGGGATCCCCCAACGCGTGCCAGCGCTTCTCCACCAGCTTCAAACAGCTCCTTAAAGCCCGCATATCCACACCACTGGTAGCCATCTCGTGGGCTGCTTGCGCCCCGGCCTAGCACTGCTGCCAACAGCACCCCCTCCCTCTCCCAGGAAGTTCATGCACCGTTGCAGTGTTGGCGGCCTCACCCCGTCGTCGAGCTTCATGTTCTTGGTGTGGATGCGCAGCACCTCCAGGCGGCCCACCTCGTCCGGCACACCAATGTCAATCTCGCGGTCAAAGCGGCCAAAGCGGCGCAGGGCGGGGTCGATGCTGTTGGGACGGTTGGTGGCGCCCATGACAATGACGTGGGCGCGCGACTTGAGGCCGTCCATGAGCGTCAGCAGCTGAGACACGATGCGCCGCTCCACCTCGCCCTGCGTCTTCTCTCTCTTGGGAGCAATCGAGTCTATCTCGTCGATGAAGATGATAGCGGGCGCGTTCTTCTCCGCCTCCTCAAACGCCTTCCTCAAGTTGCTCTCGCTCTCCCCCGCCAGCTTGGACATGATCTCGGGACCGTTGATAAGGAAGAAGAAGGCGCCAGTTTCATTAGCCACCGCCCTGGCAATGAGCGTCTTGCCAGATCCTGGGGGTCCATACAGCAGAATCCCTTTGGGCGGCTTCACCCCAATGGACTTGAACAGCTGCGGGTGGCGCAGCGGCAGCTCCACCAGCTCCCGGATCTGCGCCATCTGCTTGCGCACACCGCCCACGTCGTCGTAGCCCACCTCGTCCAGCCGCTCCTCGTCCTCGCGCCGGATGGGCTCGCCTGCACCACCGCCGCAGCAGGCAGGCATCAGCACAGGACCAGCGGAGCAGAAGCAGCAGCAGCACGATAGCAGGCCCCTCCAGGAGAGACAAAGCGCAACCTGGCAACTGCTCTGGGGGGCCAGGATCAACAGCTACCTTTGAGGACACTTCTCAACTAGTCCTGGCCACATGGAGACGGCCCCGCTCTTGCTGGGAACACGCAGTCCCTTCTGCTTTACAAGTGAGCAGCTGGGCTGCAGCATGGACGACCTGACCACCAGGGGAGTGACCAGCAGCAGAATCGCACCTTCGCAGTATATCTCTGTATCGGGGGCCACGATGCAGTAGTCTGCTGGATCCGTCTCCACCACCTTGAACTCCACGCTCCTCATGCCGCCCCGCACCAGAAACAGGTCGCCTTTGCGAACCGGCCGGTACGCCTCCAGGAAGTACGCTGCAGGCAGCCAAAGCAGTAGGTATGTCAGAAGCAACTTGTGATCAAACCGTCCGAATTGTGACACGTCAAACACAATGAAGCTAGAGGTAATCCTAGGCACCACACGCTTCAATGTATTCCAGCTGTGGCATGGACTAGCACTGATAGTACAGAAACCTTTACCAAAGCATCTAAGAAGATCCGAGATATCATCTGTCAAGAGGTCTAACAATCAGTCTGCCGCTGAAGCAGTTCCTATCCCCTGCAGTCTGCGACGGCTCACAGTTAACAAGCAGGCCTCACCTCGGCCTCACCTCGCCTCAGGCAGAACAGGCAAATACAAGAAACTCGCATCAGCATAAATGGCGGCGACAGAGCAGCGACTCACGTTTCAGGTATGCATCAAACAGGTTGCCAGTAACACCCTCAATTGTATCCTCCAGGGGCAAGACGTGGATGCGCTTCCCGTACTTGACATCAGGGCATTGATGCACTGACACAACATCCCCTAACCGCACACGCAGGTTGGTTCGCACAACCTTGTTAAGGCGGATCTTATTCTCTTCACAGGTCTCATCGGCCAGAACGATGCAGACAGTATCCTTCCTTTTCTTGCCCTGCAAAGAAACGGAGGCAATTGCAGATCAGCAAGAGCACGCTGAATCAAACCCTATTCTGCTAATAGAGGTTGCGACCGCTGAAAGCTGACGCAAGTTCAATTCAGGAGGAAAATTGCATAAATGAAAACAAACTTTCAACGCCTACAGATGATTTGCAATTGTTTGTTAAACCATCATACTTCGAGCGCTCACCTTGATGAGCACGGTGTCCCCTCGGAAGAGCTGCAGCTCCTCCATAGTCTTCAAATGGAGAGCGACCACGGAATTGTCATCATTGACTGCCTCATCCACGATAAGACGATTTGGGGACTTCTTGCGCTCCAAGATGGCGGTGCTAAAGTCCCGCTTGGCGCCGGCAGGCGACGCTGCAGGCTTGCTGGTCAGAGGCAAGGAAGCACATCAGGGCGGAGTTGGAAGCAACGTGCCTGGAAATTGCAAACTATATGACAGAATGACCAGCCCAAAACAAAAGCAGGAGCGCAAAGAATGGATCCACAAAAACAGTGTGATCCTGCATAGAATTGTAGCTTATGCATTAGATCAAGAACATGACGAGGGTCAACTTCAGCAACCCTGCCTATCTCCCCTACAAAAGGAAGAACTCCTAGACTTGCAGCAAGACGCAGGGGCAAGCAACAAGCAGAAATCAACAAGGTACCAATCAACTCACCCTTCTGAGCTGGGCCCTGCTTCCGCCATTTTCAATGCAAAAACTTTTCCTGCGCAGCTGCGTTCTTGACCAACAATTGCTTTCGGACCAAAGATTAACAACACTTTGCAGGCGTTTACTTTGCAGGCGGAGCTCGAACGACGACTGATGCGCCCCTCTATGATCTGATGGTAATACCTGCTTGTCGAGTGCTATCACCGTTCCTCAGCCCTCCCTGGCGATCAACGCCTTCACGTTCGATCCAACCTCAGCCTGGGACTAGGCGCAACCCGAAGCTACGGACACTAGACTAGGCGGTTCAACGTCACTCGGGTCAAGCAGCCCTGCACAAGTCGCGTCGGACACTTTTGTACAGTGCTCGGGAGTCGGTGCCCCGGCTCTCATGAGCACCTGCCTTGCGCTCAGTTCGGCAGCCCCACTGCCGGTAAGTAGGTACTACCTAGGTAGGATACCGAGATACTGGCCGTCTCGACGACTCTCGAGTCCCGACTCCCCGGCCCCGGCCAACTTTAGTACGGTAAGAAATTTGGTCTTCGATTCGGACCCCGAAGTTCCGAACAATCGTCCGAACGCTCTGGAAGGGCCGCGTAACTGACCATCATCGACGGTGCGGGGTAAACGGATCTCACGGTCGGGAGTCCGTAGGAGTCCGTAGGAGTCCTAGCCTACAGGGTTTCTCTTAGAAGAAGGATCGTCCGATACTTGGTTTCAGATATGATCGGTTCACGTACAAGCAGACTTCACGTACAAGCAGACGAAACAGCAGACTGTTCGACAAGAAGCCCCCGGGCACCACAACCAAACCCTTAACCCAAAACATAATGCGCTCCGCAGCCGCACCCACTCTTAAACCTCCTTTACCAACCCTACCCGGCGGTACCCGCCCTTCCAAAAGGTACAACTTGCCTGGCAGACACTCTTCATAGAATGCATGTACCGTGTACCAATATGCAAAGCCCCGGGCAGCTCAACCAAAACTAACCCAATCCTTAACGCTCCGGCCGCACCTGCCACCCACCCTGTTACAGTAAACCATCAGACTAACCCCACCCGTTCCCCCGGGTGCTTTAATACCTTGAAACAATTGAGAATCTGAGAAGTTAAGGTAGAAGTATGGCATTCAAG